CCTCCGCGGGGAGCAGCACCGGGAAAGGTACTGGGCCTCGGCCACCACCTGGGGAGTGGAGGGGTCAGGGCGCCCGACAGCCACCTTCCGTCCCTCCGTCCCGCCCAGGGCGGGGTCCCCTCCGTGTCGCAGGAGCCCAGCCCGTAGCCTCTTTTCCGTGACGTGGGCTCTGGACGAAACCGGGTCCTGAGCTGAACTCTCCCGGTCTCGCCCCGTCCATGTCCTGGAGCCTCGGCTCCCGCAGGGACGCGGGGTCCAGCGCCTCCCACCCGTCTTGGCGGGGAGAATCGCGGGGCGAATTGCGGGGCGTAGAGGAGGGAGCGCCCGCGGGGTGCGGAGCCGGGGGCGCTGAGCGCATCTGCTAGACGCGTAGCTGCCCGAAGGCTCTGCCCGGTAACTCGCCCCGGAGTCCGATCCGCAGGAAGACGGTACTTTCTCTTTTAATCCGGCACAGCCTTGGGGGTCGGGTCTTCTCTCTGAAAAGCGGCCACTAGCAAGTTGCCTGAACGTCCATGGGTGGAGCCCTCTGAGCGGGTGGCGGCCCCTTTTCCATGGGATGCTGTGCAGGGCCAGCGTGGGCGCCAGGAAATGTCTGTCGGTCCCGGATAAGCATTCTCCGCGCGTAAAAATAGGCGTCTCTATGCATAGATTTGTATGAAAAAGAAAAACTCAGAAAGCCTTCAAGTCCACTTGCTGTAGCTTATATGTTTGGGGACACACACAGAGTGGGCTTTGGGGTGCAGTGGATCAGTGCTCTTTGCTCGGGAACTGAAGCCAGCCTGGTGGGGCCCCCTCGGTGCCTCGGCCTGTGTCCTCAGTGCCACTGCCCGCAGCACTAGCGGCCAGGGAAGCCAGCCTGCGTCCACCCCTTTTTACTTTCTTCAGTGTCTGTGACTAGGGCAACCTTTAACTCCTAGTGCTTTCCAAATGATGAGTTTGAGGTTTTGGGTTTTTTTCCCAAAATCACAATAGTTAGAACCGGATGGTACTCGTCCTGTTCCCACAGGCCCCATGGCCCCTCTTACATGAATGGAAATGGTGTCTGCCCAGCCCCTGGCCCAGGGCACCTCCTCACAGCTGGGAGATGCTGGGGAAACCTGATGGCCCCCACACACATGGTCACTGACCCACCGAGCCCACAGGAGGAGTGAGACACGTATGGAAGGCCAGGTGCAAACAGTGGGGCACCTGGGGGCAGGTGAAAGGTGCAGAGGGGTGAGGGACAGCACCCAGCTCAGCTGGGTGCACAGCTGGGCTAGACGGATTCGGAGGGACTGAAAGGCAGTGCCATGGGGCCTGGTTCCTCGTCTTTCTCGGGTAACCTCACTGTTGCCCCCTCACCAGTGCCTGGAGTGGGAGGGGCCTCTCAGAGTTGGTCTGAGGATCCATGTCCAATCGGCCCATGGTTAGAGCTGGCTTTGTGATGCCTGCCACCTTGTTTGCAGAGGGACGCAGCCCAGCCCAGGATGCAGAGTTTCCTGAAGCTGCTGCGGGAGAGTGGAGGCACCAGGCCATCTGTGGAGGATCTGGTGAGCTTCGCGGGCATGCTGTGCCGGGACCTGCAGGACGACCTCACCCAGGCACAGCCCTTGGTCACGGCCGTGCTGGAGAGCCAGCTCCGCCTGTACCTCCTGGGCAACAAGGACGTGGCGCTGGTGTGCGCCCGCGTGCTGGCCCAGCAGGAGCAGCACGAGGCCGCCTGCCGGCTGTTGGAGGTAGGACTGGTCTTGTGGGGGGAGGTGCAGAGAGAGGGGCGGCAGCCACTAGCATCCTGAGCGAGATGGAAAGTCCACAGCCAGCCAGAACCTGGAGAGAGGTTCTGTAAACAAGGCAGGATGGTCCCCTCTCACTTTACCAATATCTGAACAATTTGATAGTCTGAGAAAAGTGGTCCATTGATGAAATCCTCACTGAGTGGGGGTCCCAGGTTGGAGTGCCGGCTGCCAGTCGTGTAGCCAGCAGTCAAGCAGACCCAGGACCTCTGTCCCTGAGCCAAAGGCCCGCTCTTGAAAACTCGGAAACCAAAAGCATCTGTGCCACTCCTCTGGGGGCACTGGGCGCCTCAGCTCATCCTCCATGAAAACGTGGCCTGCACTGACGTGAAGGAATTGACGGTCGTTACAGTGGTACATTTTGCTGCCTACAGAGTGACATGTTTGACTGCAGTATGCTGCCTGCCCCAGACTATATGGGGTGGCACATGCTCTATAGTGTGTGCCTGTGTTAGTTCATTAAATCAGAGAAATTCTGAATTCCAAAATACAGACAGCTCAGCGGGCTTCAGTCATGGATTTGAGGGCGCATGTTTCCCTGTTTCAGCACATACTTACTGTGAAGATAGTCACTTCTTCCAAGTTCCTTGTATTCCCACCCCCACCCTCCAAGCCAAGAGGTGTCCTCCTCCCGCCTCTGCCTTCATGCAGCAGCTGGAGGAAGTTGTAGAACTGCAGGTGGGACCATGTGTGCACCAGGGCCTGGGGCGTGAGCCTGCCTGCTCTCCAGGCCTGGACCCACACTCCCCCTTCCTCCGTGTGGCCCATGCTGGCTTCCTGGCCGTTCTTAGAATTTCCGCAACATTTCTTTGTCTCAGGACCTATGCACATGTCATTCCCTCAGCTAGAGGTTGGTGCCTTCCCACCTTTCAGGTTTCTGCTGTCAATGTCACTGGGTAGTGAGCCTGTATCCTCAAGTGCAACCCCGAATTCTGTCCTCGGATTCCTTCCTCGGGTCGTAATCAGAGTCCATTTGTGCTTCCTCTGTCTCCCCTGGCCGCACGTGGGCCCAGGAGGGAGGGGCCGCACCCTGTTCTCATTGCAAGAGCAATGACACCCAGCATAACCCTGTGACATAGGAGGGCTCCAGTGTTTAAATGTGTGCAAATAAACGGGTGACGTAAAGAAACAAGGGCACCCAGAGTTAGAGGTGTGATAACTGCCGTGAAGGCATCAGCGATGAAATGTAGGATGACACCAGTGCGGACAGACTCCCAGGAGAGGGATCAGATTCCGTCAGGATGGCTTAGACATGCTCTGAAGAGTTGCCGTGTGCTGAGACCCGAGAGCTAATGCTGTAGCCACCACATGTTTCAGGCCCAGGCTGGTCCTGCAGGCAGGGAGGGTTCATTGCTTCCTGACTGTTGTGCCTGAGGCTGATGGCTGATCCTGGCTGCAAGAGACTGCAAGTCCCAGCCCAGTCCCATGGGCTCTTTCTGATTATCTGCACCTCCCTCGCCAAGATGGCGCTGGGAACGTGGAGTTAAAGGCGAGAAACACACACCGACTGGTGTCTAGGGCAGTGATGGCGAACCTATGACACGCAAACTCATTTTTTTGGTTGATTTTTCTTTGTTAAATGGCATTTAAATATATAAAATAAATATAAAAAACATAAGTCTTTGTTTGACTGTGGTTGCAAATATAAAAAAAACGTCTATATGTGACACGGCACCAGAGTTAAGTTAGGGTTTTTCAAAATGCTGACACGCCGAGCTCAAAAGGTTCGCCATCACTGGCCTAGGGGATGCCGGTGCCAGACGTCCTGGCCATCTTCAAAGTGTGGTTATTGGAACAGGTCACCCTGGGCTTCACTCCACTTCCCTGCTGGTGGGAGAAAAAAACTTTTCACACAAGACATGGGTCGAGCTTTGGAGCCTTAAAAAGACAATGTGGTCGTCAATGACAACAGCTCTGCCTCCTGTGTGGCCGCTGGCCAGTCGCCTACCTGCCCTTTCCTCAGGCTCCTCACCTCTGAGGAGTGACTGACAGCTGTCCCCACCTGTGTGCTTTGTGGGAGGGTTGCCGTGCTGGTGTGAATGGGTGGCCAGCTGGGCCTCCAGGACACCACCTGCACCTGGGGTGGGCTGGAGTGCTGGCCATCTGGCCATGCCCTGCTGCTTGGCACATCAGTGAGCAGCTCTTCCCAGGGGTCAGGTCTGGGCGATGGCCGTGCTCAGGTGGGTGAGGTGGCCAGGTCTCAGCAGGCTCTTCTCCGCAGGGATGCTGGGTGCCAGGAGGCAGTCAGGAGCTGGTGCAGCTCTGGAATGACATTCACTACCATTTGGTCATGAAGAGGCGGGGCTTGGACACGCTGACCTCAGTGCAGAAGTTCCGCTGCAGGAAGAGGTACGTGGCTGAGCGTTATTCGTGCAGAGGGAGGGGTGGCCGGTTCCTGGATGAGCACAGGGTGGAGGAGACGGAGGCACAGCCAGGTTCCAGGCCAGACACAGAGACTGGACAGCTTTGCTCCTGGTCATGGGTGTCCCCGCTGGTCTGCAGGCCCCCGGGTCTCCCTGAGCTCCCGACAGCCCAGGTGCAGGACTCCTCAGCTCCAGGTCCTGGTTCGTGTCCAGAAGAGACCCATTCCTTTCTGACCAGAGAGAATGTTTTCATGCTGCTGCAGAGAGTGAGCTATGTCCTCAGACCCGACATTCACTCAACCTCGGTGTCTTCAAGGCTGCAGGGTGTCCCTCCCTGTAGGTGCTGGGAGCGGCCAGAGTGCAGCTCAGCACGGGAAATGGTTTGGGACCAGCAGTGTCTGTGAAGAGGCTCTCGTTGTGGTGCTATTGGAGGTGCTGAGGACAGAAACTGGGCTTTGTTCTCCAGAGCTGACCTTGGGTAGAGGATAGACAGTAGTCAGGGCAACACTGTACATCCCATGATTCAGAGTGAGGAAGGGGAGACAGAAGGTTCTCCGAAGGGGGCTGGGACCCATTGTTCTTGCTGTGGGGAGGGCTGAGTGCAGGCCCGTCCAGTCCTTGGAGGAGAGACCCGAGCAAGTGCATGGTGGTCCCCAGGGGCACAAGGAGGGGGCAGGGGAGTTACAGCAGAGGCCAGTGCAGGAGCAGGAGCCGGAGGTTCTGAGTCTCTGGCAGTGGCTGAAGAAAGGGTTGTGTTAAGATAGAGTTTGGCCCTCCCTAGCTGGGTTGGCTCAGTGGATAGAGCGCCGGCCTGCTGACTGAAGGGTCCCAGGTTCGATTCCCGGCAAGGGCACATGCCCAGGTTTCGGGTTCAATCCCCCGTGGAGGGTGTGCAGGAGGCAGCCGATCCATGATTCTCCGGCTCAATCCCCCGTGGAAGGCGTGCAGGAGGCAGCCGATCCACGATTCTCTTTCATCATTGATGTTTCCATCTCCCTCTCCCTTCCTCTCTGAAATCAATAAAAATACATTTTTAAAAAAATAGAGTTTGGAGGATTTGCCGATGGCTTGTATGCCTTTGAGGAGCAAAAGAAAGATTCAAGCTGGACTCAGTGCTCTTGGCCTAGCGGCTGGAATGTGGTGGCTCCTCCCCACGTGCGCAGGACGGGGGCTGGGGGGATGTGGGGAGGGCCGGGGACAAGCTCCACTTGGGATTTGGGTGAGTGGGATGCCTTGTTGACATCCAGGGTATTTGTTCAGTTGGTGTTTGGATTTTAAGTTTTGTATAGACGGGTGCTATTTGTTTAGATGCCACCATTTTCTTTTAAAATAACTCAGACTTTCACGGCGATTGAGCATAACCCATCTCAGCATCCTCATCCTGTAGCTGCCCCAGTTCTTGGCATTTGTCAGCCCTGGCATCTCGCTGCATGTCCTGGGAGCCCTGGTGCAACCTGCAAGTGGGGCCGGGGAGCCCTCACCCCTCAGGAGACGGGCCCCTGGGACCTGGCAGCATAGGAACTGGGAGGAGTGGCCTGTGAGCAGAGGGCGTGCAGGGCACCGTGTTCTGGGCACAGGAGGTTTAACAGGAGCGGTGCCAGGAGAAGGGAGGCTGTGACACCCCCTGTCTGTGCTCCCCAGGAACCCGCCACCCCCCTCCCTCTGCCCTGAGGGACTGAAGAGCCGCAACTTCCCCAGGGAGGTTCGCCAGAAGTTGAAGAACTTCGCCTCGGGTGTGAGCAGCAGCCCCAGCAAGGCCGAGCGGGTGAGAGCCCGAGAGTCGGGCCAGGCAGCCCTCGGTTCCCCCGCCTGCTGCGCAGCAGTCTGGCCTCTGGTGACCTTCGTGCACCCCCCTCCCCCGTGCACCCTGCTGCTGGGCTCAGATCCCATGTTTCCGCAGGAGGCCCTGGCTGTGGAGACCAGCCTCACCGTGGAGCAGGTCTACAACTGGTTCGCCAATTACCGCCGGCGCCAGAGGGCGGGTCTCCAGTGTTTGGAGCCGCAGCCCTCAGGCCACCGCCACCCCGGCTTCGTGGGTGGGCACCCACCTCAGTGGGCAGGTGAGTGGCCCAAAGGTCCCCATGCTGGGAGCTGACCTCAGCTGCCCGGTCACCGCACCGTGTCCAGGGCCAGGCCTAACCCTAATTCTGACCTGCACACTCACCCTGAGGAGCAAGAACAGTGAGGCTGAGGGTCAGATGGGGCTGTGGCTGCCTTCGTGTGTGGAGGCCACTTGGCCAAGGCCAAGTCAGTAGGTTTGGGAAGCAGGGTGTCTAGTTAGGGATTGTTGCTCAGAGTAAGGGTGCATCACGGGACACAGACTGTTGGAAGGACTCGGTGGTCACACCTTTCCCCACAGCAGGGCTCCTGTGACTACTGGGAAGGAGGCTGGAACTTAAGGTCCATCCAGCCTCCCTCCCATCCGACTGGCTTTCTACAGGAGGTGAGGAGAATGGGCCAGCTCGAACCCTGGTGACTACTCAAGGGCTTTGGCAGCCTCCGGCCCTGGCCTTGGACGTTTCTGGAGACGGGACAATGCCCGAATCACTGACTCCCAGGTACTGTCATTCCCACGGTCTGTTCTCCTTGTTTAGCTTCCCCACCGTCAGCAGGATACCAGGGGGGAATGAGCATGGGCGTGCTGGGCCAGCTGGGACCAGGTCTGCGAGGGCTGTGGCCACAGGAGTGCGGGCGCTCTTGCCAGGAGCCCAGGTCAGGGACCCTGCACTTGTTCCCCGAGACTGACTCACAGCCTGGCGTCCTGCGCATGATGGAGAAGGGGAAACAGACGCAGAAAGAAAAATACGCAAACCTATCACCTGCAGGCACACCCAGCTGTCCTGGTTTGTTTGCTTCTGGTGTTTGGTGTGGTTTGTTTCATTGGGTTGTCAGGGCCAGCACTGCCGGGTTCCTACTGTACAGGGTAGTGCCTGGCCTGGCACCTGACGTCCAGTGACAGCACCCGGCTGTGTGTCCTCCCTGCCTCGCTTTTTTCACCTGTGAAGTGGGGACTTGCAGGACCTGCCTTGTGGTTGTTGCCACGGTTCTTGGGGTGAGGGTTGTTGACAGAGGCCCAGGAGCACCATCTGAGACACAGTGAGCATTTGTGGATTATTCATTCTCTCATTATTATCCACTGCTGCCTCGTGTTCCTTTGAGATCGGCCATCATCTATTCAGTCGCCTGCTAGGCCCTTCCTAGCCACGTGCAGCTCTCAGTGCGTGGAGAGTGCTTCCCTGAGGCCTTTGAAGGAACTGCGTGTGTATCTTGGGTTTCCAGTTATCATACTTTCTTCTAAGTGTCTGTAGAGCTTTTGCAGGCACAGGAGAACAGTGAAGGCAGCAGGATTGGGGAATGGTGGGCCCCAGGCCGTCAGTGACTGTCCTAGCCGGAGCGAGCCTCCGTCCACCAAGGGACAGTGTTCGTGGGGTTTCCCAGCTCTCTGCAGGGCGGTGAGATGTATCCGGAGGGGCCTGGCCGTGACCCATCCACTCTCCCCGCCGTCTACCCTGACCCTGGCTTCGCTGGGCTGGCTGCCCGCAGCGACTTGCTGGACCCTTCAGCTGCGCCCAAGCCCTGGCTGGTGTCCCTCACACTGGCGTCCTCCAGGGACGCTTCCGTTCAGACTGAACAGCTGGTGCACAGTCACGGGCTGCACTTCTGGATGCCCCCTTCGGACACTTCTATGTCGGTGTCCATTTCCACGGTTGCCGAGCCCAGCTCCACAGGTGAGTCCACTCCACTGGGACCATGAGTTTCTGCACCAGAGGCTGCAGCTACGGGCATCTCGGGAGGGCAGGGAGGTATGGGAAGGGTCAGGGCTTCCGCCTGAACCCTCTGCTTGATTAGACCCAGAACCAGTGAGCCTCAAAGAGGCTCTTCCAACAAACATCCCAGGTTATAGTTCTTACTTGTTTCATTTGTCAAAATAAAACATGCACATGAAACAAAATAAGATGCGAGGAAAGAGCAAAAAGGAAACGAAGCAGCTGCCAGTCCTCCACTCTCCACTCTGTGCACTTGCCTACCTGCCAGCACCTGCTGCCACAGCACAGGGCCGAGCTTCTGAGACCGCAACCTGGGCATGTGCCCTTGACCGGAATCAAACCCGGGACCTTTCAGTCCACAGTCTGACACTCTGTCCACTGAGCCACACCAGCCAGGGCCACAGGGGCTTGTCTTTAAGCGTGACAGATTTTCTGCCGGGCTGGCAGGGCTCCATGTTTGAGCATCAACCTATGAACCAGGAGGTCATGGTAGGATTCCCAGTCAGGGCACATGCCTGGGTTGTGGGCTCTTCCCCAGTAGCGGGGGTGTGCAGGAGACAGCTGATAAATTCTTTCTCATCATTGATGTTTCTATCTCTCTCTTTCCTTTACGCTCTGAAATCAATAAAAATATATTTAAATAAAATTTTTAAATGTGAGATTCATTTTAAGAAGCAGATTTTTATATTCGTCTAATGTCTGAAGAATAACTCTATTTAAAAGACACCTATGTCTATGGACTGGGGAGAGAGGCACAATGGACCACAATTTAGTAAAGACTGAATACCTGAAAGCAAAGGATTTTCATTCAACCAGAAACAAAGTAGATTAACAAACTGTCTTTTCAATTGTTATTTTCAAAAGTAAAGGTTAGCTTTAACATTATCAGAGAACAATGTTCCAGTGGGCAAGTAGAAAGATGTTAATAATGACATCTAACAAGTATTCTTTAAGAAATTTTAATCATCAACAAATCAACAAATGAAAAGTGCTGGCGAGGATGTGGAGAAAAAGGAACCCTCGTGCATTGCTGGTGGGAATGCAGACTGGTGCAGCCACTGTGGA